ACACCACTATCAGGTAATCAGGAAACAGTTATACACCACTATCAGGTGATCAATAAACAGTTATACACCACTATCAGGTGATCAATAAACAGTTATACACCACTATCAGGTAATCAGGAAACAGTTATACACCACTATCAGGTGATCAATAAACAGTTATACACCACTATCAGGTGATCAGGAAACAGTTATACACCACTATCAGGTGATCATTTTTATATATCAAACGACTATCGAAAAGCCATTACATTTTGTTGAATGAATTTAAAATATTGTGTTAAGAGTAAAAAATAAAACCTACATTTTTTGGCACAATGAAAGATAAGTTTTTTATTAATTGTATTCGGCTCACTAGATTCGGTAACACAGTTACAATAAACAAGGTTAGTAATTGTAACACAGTTACAATAATCAAGGTTAGTGATGGCAACACAGTTACAATAATCAAGGTTAGTGATGGTAACACAGTTACAATAATTAAGGTTAGTGATGGTAACACAGTTACAATAATCAAGGCTAGTGATGATAACACAGTTACAATAATCAAAGTTAGTGATGGTAACACAGTTACAATAATCAAGGCTCGTGATGGTAACACAGTTACAATAATCAAGGCTAGTGATGGTAACACAGTTACAATAATCAAGGCTAGTGATGGTAACACAGTTACAATAATCAAGGTTAGTGATGGTAACACAGTTACAATAATCAAGGTTAGTGATGGTAACACAGTTACAATAATCAAGGTTAGTGATGGTAACACAATTACAATAATCAAGGCTAGTTATGGTAACACAGTTACCATCACTAGTCGGCTTAAACAACTAATAAAGTTGACGGTTTTGTTTCTTATTGTTAGCTAGCTGGAGTACTTGTTCTTACCTGTTACAAGACGCCGACTTGTTGCATGTATCTTCCTGGATGATCCTGATGCCCTAAATTGATCCATATTATTTTACTAGCTGGAATACCCGTCCCCTGGTTGGAAGTTATGTAAATTCATGTTTAATGAAAGGTTATCTTAGGACATGAAAAGTTGCTTCCCTTATACGTAATTGTAAAAAACGCCCATAAAAACTGCAAATCGCAAAACTGAAAGGATGTAAGTATTTCCCCATGGACCCAACGAACCTTCATGTCAAATTTGGTGAAGATCCATCAACAGGGGGCGAAGTAGTGGTAAAAAACGCCCATAAAAACCGCAAATTGCAAAACTGAAAGTATGTAAGTATTTCCCCATGGACCCAACGAACCTTCATGTCAAATTTGGTGAAGATCCATCAATAGGGGGGCGAAGTAGTGGTAAAAAACGCTCATAAAAACCGCAAATCGCAAAACTGAAAGGATGTAAGTATTTCCCCATGGACCCAACGAACCCTCATGTCAAATTTGGTGAAGATTCATCAATAGGGGGCGAAGTAGTAGTAAAAAACGCCCATAAAAACCGCAAATCGCAAAACTGAAAGTATGTAAGTATTTCCCCATGGATCCAACGAACCTTCATGTCAAATTTGGTGAAGATCCATCAATAGGGGGGCGAAGTAGTGGTAAAAAACGCCCATAAAAACCGCAAATCGCAAAACTGAAAGGATGTAAGTATTTCCCCATGGACCCAACGAACCTTCATGTCAAATTTGGTGAAGATCCATCTACAGCGGCCAAAGTATAGTAAAAAAACGCCCATAAATACAGCAAAATGCAAAACTGAACATTTGTATGTATCCCCGCATGGACCATACCAATTTTGATGAAGATTAATCCACGCTTTGAGAAGTAGTTACATGGACAGACAACAGACTGTACTATTATATTTGTATAAATATACAATAGCACAACGTGCCCGAAAAGAAATATGTAAAACATTATACTGAATATATTATAGCTACCTCCTACATCCTATAACTTTTGAAAAATCGTGACACTTTAAAGATGAAGCCTTATTTCTCCACTTGATCGCTACAAATTAGATCAAGTCGAGAATTACAACAAACACGATACTATAAGTTTGCTTTAGATAAAAAAAAATACTCTGTTGTGTTTCATACCACGTTTATTATTTATACTCTAATTGAAATGGTAAAAAAAAATTCTTACAGATAAAAAGAAGTCAATATATGAAGTCAATTTAAAGGCACGCCGTGCAGAAGGGAAAGGAGAAGCGAGAGTTCTAAAAAGGTGGCGCCACTGGTGCGGAGGAAAATGAGGTGGCCGAGCATCATGGTTGAGAATGACTGCGATGATCTTGAAGAACTAGAACTTGAAGCCAGCCATGTACTGTTAAATGATGTAAGTTTTACATGATTGTCACAGAAGTATAAATCATATAAGCTGTCGAAGTAATGAAGTCTTTTTTAGGCCTAACGAAAGTAAATAAAATGACGTTCGACTATAAATGTTTCCCCCAAAATCCTCTTAATTAGTCCTACGCCGATTTCGCATCAAAGATGAGTGAAATTAACATTTCAGTTCAAGCTGTTATCCGCCATATATTGCTGCCCAGGAGGCCTTTCGTTTAATACCAGAACTCATCAGCTTTAGCGTTTTACACTAGTGCAATATATTTCAGACACTGTGAACAATATATATATATATATATATATTTTTGTCAAGCCCAAACTTTACAATGGGCTATCTGTGCTGTGCCCAATGTAGGTATCAAAATCCGATTCTCAGCGTTAGAAGCACTCAGACTTACAAATCGTTTTACAAATGTATTTTTGCTTGCAATAGGTTCACAACCAACTTACAAGTTCTGGTGCTTCTTTAGAAGTGTACCATTTCTAATATTGTAATCCTATATTGTCTGAATATTTGTCAAAGATTTCCAGGGAGGTTTCTCAAATTATTTTACATTCGAATATATTGGAATAGAATGACTCTGTTTGATCCCCTTTTCTCCCCTGAAATATGTGAGATCATAGAATGAGTAGTTCTCAAAGTGTTTTTTCTTCGGATTATTGATAGAAATAAACCTAAACACGTTTTGTTCACTTTTTTTTTTTTTTTTTTGACGCTGAAACTGATAAAATGAGTGGCTAAAAAAATTAATACAAGAGCAAAGACGTAAAATATTGAAAACGTCTGAACACTTTTCTGTTTTGTTATCAACTAACTTATTGTTCACGACTGCCTAATTTTATTGGAAAGTGGGAGGGGGGGGGGCAAAAAAGTCAATTTAACATAGTCGTTGATAATAGTGTATGCACACTAACTGGAATAAGTGGAGGGCGTGTGCCCCCTCTTCCCTTTCTGTTAAGCGCCAGTATTAATGACAAAGATTTTGTATTGACTTAGGGTACAACCCTGTAGGAGTTGAATATTCTTGAAGGATAACTATTAATACTGTAGCAAGACGTCTACTCCTTAAAGAAATAAGTAAGACACTAACTACCACTACATATATATACAGTTTAGTACTCATTGCCTTTAATATGTAATAGATTTTCCAAAAGTGTGTAGTATTCGTTGTTACTGATGGCTGGAAATAGTGTTTTAAATACTTTTAAACCAGATAAAGAATGCCCCAAATATTATAGTTGGATGCATAGAGAACGTCATCAAACACGTAATATATCGATGATGGTTATCTGGGCTGACCACATCACATGCTGAAATATGTCTGGACATTCGATTGTGGAGCCATCTATCGATATTTTCGCAGCTTTCCCAACATGTCAGTGCAGTGACGTAACTATAAAAGATACCTTCCACTCGCATAAAAAGTAATTGCGCCCCCTACATTTATTTCCCTCTAACTGTAGTTAATGATTCGGGCCCCCTTTTGGCTCTGATGCCCCCCCCCCCACCCATTGCGGGGGATGAGGGGGCATACTTATGCCACTGTATCAGTATTTACTCAACAGTTTCTGGTCGTTGTGCCACTTTTTTTTTTAAGATTTGCGTATCGTATCCAACAACACGAACTCCTGTAATGCCATTACAAGTTTAACACAATATTCGGAGTGATAAATCTGACGAGTGAAAAGTATAGTATCATCACGCTTAGCACAACTGAAGGAAGTTCAACTAGTAGCATGGCTGTTGGACGTAATTTAAAAATACCGCATATGACTGTAGAATGTTATTATAATAACTTTATTATAATTATCTGCATGCATGACAATCTCACATTCTTATTTTATTTTTCAGAAATGGAGACAACTCTTTGATAAGGTAAGTTTCACCCCAAATTATAGTCTCACTGACAGTAAACATTTTGTCGTAATTATAACAGTAGGTTTTTCTTTACTTGTAGTAAAATTAATCAACATTTAAAGGTGTGTTACCAGCTTTCTGAAATGTTACGGTATATTGCCTTGTTATCTTCTAGTTTTAACTAAATTATTAGGAATTATAAAAACTTATTTTAATCTAACTCACCTACTAGTGTTAAATGTTGTTTTTGGAGTCGCGTAGTGATTACTGTGCCCGGAACTTTAAACCAAAGATTCGTGGTTCGCGGCTGGTTACCGCAAAAACGTGCTCTGCATTTTGGGGAAGTGACTGTGCTATAAGGATGATGATGAAATCCTACACTTGTCGTTGAAACAAAAGCAGACCAATAGATAGTGGCACAGCGGTATGTCTGCGGAGTTACAACGCTAGAATCCGGGTTTTGATACCAGTGGTGGGCAGAGCACAGACAGCCCATTGTGTAGCTTTGTGCTTAATTACAAACAAACCAATAGATACCGTTGGGTGCTGCTGTCGAGTGGCCTTCCATCAAGTCTTTCGGGTCAAAATGAGGGACGACTATGTGCAGACACATCTTTGTGTAGCTTTGCGCGAAATTTTGAAAGAAACAAACAAATATTTAACAGACGAAGAAACGTTCTAAGTACAGTAGAATTGCTAAAGACTTTGTGAAACGACTACACGTGTCCTTAAGCATATAAAAAATGAAAATATACACAACAATGACACTATTCGTCGGTAAAGCGTAGTCCAAGAGTTAGCGGAGGGTGGTGTTAACTAATTGCCTTCACTCTAATCATCACTTCAAAATTAGGAATGGCTAGCGCAGATAGCCCTCGAGTAGCTTTGCGCGAAATTCAACAAACAAATTGTATTATATTCGCACCCGAAATTATAGTGTCGTATATAAATTAAATACACTGAACAAAGAATATTGAGTTAAAAATGAAAATAAACAGAACAAAATGTTTAAGTATAAGATATATATATATATTTCTTAATTTTTTGGTTACGTAACGTAACTATAGTAATAACTAAGAGCCGTTGGACTTGGAAATTCTCCAGTTCGACATTTTAATATGAATGTTAATAAAATGTTCTCTAGTTAATAACATTTGGGATTCGCTTTGGTGTATGCTGCTGCTGACCACTAGAACTTACCCCTTTGATTGGATTAAATCTGACTAATAGAACTGAGCTCCACTAGAGCTTACCCCCCTTTGAGTGGGTTAAATTTGACTAATAGAACTGAGCTCCACTACATCTTACCCCTTTGATTGGGTTAAATCTGACTAATAGAACTGAGACCTCTAGAGCTTACCCCTTTGATTAGCTTAAATCTGACTAATAGAACTGAGCTCCACTGGAGCTTACCCCTTTGTTTGGGTTAAATCTGACTAATAGAACTGAGCTCAACTAGATTTAGCCCCTTCGACAGGGTTACTTCTGACCGCAGGAACTGGCAGAGCCCCCACCAGAGCTTACTTCTTTCACCGGTTTACATCTGATTAACGAAACAGTCTGACTGAGATCCACTAGAGCATATTATTTCGATTGGGTTACGTCTGACTAACAGAGCTGACTTGATCTCGGTGCTTGACCTATAATTCCAGAATCTGACGAAGCATGGTCTCGTTGGCAGTGATCTGTAAGAAATAAATTACAGTTGACAAAACACTTTTTATGCTAAAAATGGATTCAGAATGGATTGTTAGAACAACAGTCTCGTCCCATTTGTGTCTCTTCTCGCCATATTACCTCGCTTCCCGCATATCATACAAACGGTATTCAATACCCAAAATATAATATACAAGTATTCGTTTGTTTGTTTTTGAATTTCGCGCAAAGCTACACGAGGGCTATCTGCGCCAGCCGTCCCTAATTTAGCAGTGTAAGACTAGAGGGAAGGCAGCTAGTCATCACCACCCACCGCCAACTCTTGGGCTACTCTTTTTACCAACGAATAGTGGGATACAAGTATTTGAAACAGTTGATCCTTGCCTATTCACTTTCAACGTAATGAATTCATGGGGAGTGTCGGCGGTTTATTATAAAGGGGTGATATTTCCCCATAATTTGCTACAAAAGCTGCCCTATAAATCTTCATATTTCCTCCAAAATCCACTTTGAGCGCTAAGTTTTGACCCAGCCACATGATAGATTACATATAGCGCTGCAAGTGTAAAGTGATTTCAGAAGGCCTAATCACGAATATTGCTTGTTCTTAGATGTATACTAAAGCTAAAACTGGACGTCCCTATATAAAAAAAAAAACGTTATGAAAATGACTGGAATATGCAATGAGTAAGATAGGGGATATATTGTATGGATTATTATACTATTTCATTCTTTGTGACTCGACGTTTTGGAGCACTGTCGGAGAACATTAGAATTGGTAATACTGCGCATTTTTGTATATCAATATTCAACGAAACTGGTATTATATCTTGACCTGTACAGGTGTACAGAATTTGGTTTAGTACATAAACACACATATATATATATATATATGGCCCGGT